CATTGCGATAAAAATTGGAACAGTCCTCCAAAACGTAATCCTGGTTCGTGGTTTTGTGAGCAGTGTCAGTTAATTTTGAGTGAAGCCCCAGGAATGAACATATAAACTATTATCTACGTGGATTAAATTATGGGTAAAATACTCTTATAGATAACAGCTAGACATCAAAATAACCAATAAATTTAGTTTGTTCCTATGGTTATTTTATAATTGTTGTGTATGTTCAACACATATAACGACACACTGGAAAATATATCAAAAGCTTGCATTTTCGTCCAGTGTTTCCAAATTTATGAACAAAAAATATATCGATACTTTGGGGAGATTATTGGCCTGAAAAACCTTACAACTCAGAGCGAAGTCAGGAAATAAAATTTGAATGATAAGAATGATGAGAAAATCCAGACTGTCATTAAAGATCCAAGTTCAACGTTGATCCTTTAAATCAACCTTAATATTTATATACATATTGAATACGCTATCAACCACAAATAGATAAACCAATAGAAAGTTACCTTTATCAAATTAATTTAAATAATAGATGAATAAATAAAATAAAGATAGAGACCACATCGGGAACAAGACCAGACATCAACTTTGGGATCAGTGCAGAAGAAGGTTTCGAAGACAGCCGCTTTGTAGCACTGGCAAAGTTGAGATTTACATTTTTACAAAGTCGTCGAGAGTTGAATATTTGCCGCAGAGAGAGGAGGTATGAGAAGATGAAGGAGATGAATACGAAAATAAATTCGTAAAGGGAAGAAGAATAAGGTATAAGAAGAAGAAGAAAGAAGAAAGAAAGAAAGAAAGAAGAAGAAGAAGAAGAAGATGTAAGAAAATGTGATCTGGTTTAGCAGTATGAAAGAGAGGAAGATTATAACGAGATAGAAGTGTCATTACCCAGCTTGCGAAGACTAACTTTTGAAAAATACAAAAGGCAAGAAAATATGCATAAACACAAAGCATTCGTCGAAGCGTGATTTTAATTTCTGAGTTTACATACAGAAATAAAGTGTTAAATATGGTCATGACACAGATAGACACACGCGCTATCCAAAATATACCAGCTTGAGGGTGGGAATAAATAGCTAGCCTTCTGTTTCTTGTGTATAAATGTATAAGATTAATATAACTTCCATAGTAAATGCCTTTATGTCTTCGCTGTATCATCATTATCACGTTTATCCTCACTGGTCATCACATCATCACCTTTATCTTCACTATTATCGTAAATTATCATTGTCTCTTTCATAAATCATCATCATCATAATTATCTTCACTATCATTTCCATCATTCTACACATCCAACAACCTGAATACTGCCTCTGACGCGATCACAGTCACTGTGCCAAGACAAAAGTTGGAATTAGTTGCGACTAAGAGTTTCAGAGTTTCATAGTTGGAATTGGAGTTAGGTGATTGGGATTGGGTTATGTTGAGTTAGGTTAGGTTCGAAAAAAGTCCCTGAAAAGTGAGCAGCCTAGCAATGTGGCTATAGCCTTGCAGGCCCATCTCCATGTAATATTTTTGCTGAGTTTTTTCAAGAATAGTATTTGACATTAATATCACTGCATAGGATAGGACTATAGCGAGTGTATATCACTGGGGACCTATAATAGTTAATTACTACACACCAACAGCAGTAAAACCAACAGTGTACATATCAACTATTACTAATATACATCTGTCCTCAAAATTATAATTGTATATCTGTAATTCCCCAAAATAGATGCCTCTTTGACACCTCTCTCTCTAACTCACTCTTTTCGATCATTGTCACCGTGAAGGCTTTTTTGTTGGCCAACCCTGACCTCCTTGTTGTTGTAGAAGATTGCGAGATAAGTAGCGTCATTAATTGGAGGGCGTGCGTCAGTGAGAGGTGAGCCAGAAAAGGCTTTTTATAGCTATTCTCTAAACTAGAACACAAAAAAATACTTGAGAATAGTCCATACCGGTTTCTCTCTTCTATCTGCTTCTTGACATCATTCTGAACACGGTAGTAGACGGGGCAGTACTCCTGAAGGTGTTACAGTATAGTCTATGTGGTCAGGAAGTATTTTTTTGTCCTTCCTCCCACGCTCCCATGCTCCTCCTGGCAAATATCTGTCCACAACTCTCTCTCACTCCTCTCTAGCTCTCTCACTCACACGCTCCAATGCTCCTCCCAAGTTATATCTCTCCACAACTCTCACTCCCTCGCTCCCAAACGCCCACTCCCCCATTCCTATTGTCGCCCCCACCCACTCCCCCTTCCTGGTCTATATCTTCACTATCAAGAGTTACATCTAATAGATAGCTTGGTGTCTTTAATATCCCGGGTGTAAGGTCACTTGTCCTCATCATTCTCCGCCTTAAGACCACAACGGGTTATTGCCTTCATTCTTTGTGTGTGTGTGTGTGTGTGTGTGTGTGTGTGTGTGTGTGTGTGTGTGTGTGTGTGTGTGTGTGTGTGTGTGTGTGTGTGTGTGTGTGTGTGTGTGTGTGTGTGTGCTTATCTTCAGGATCAGGTTTATCAATGTTTATGTATTCCTAAGAGACAGAAAATCATTTGGTGTTGTAGATACAGAGGTAAGTGGCACGACCTCTGTCTCTTCTGGGATGTTGTCTGGTGAGAGGCGAGGAAGAAATGCCTCTTAAAAACTATTTTTTTTTTCAAGTAAGTGTGGACGCGTTCACCTGGGCTGAGCTCCTCTTTGTGGGGTTGTGACCCGAGAACGATGATCGTTGGTGGTGTTTAGTGATAATTCTCAGCACTGTTTCACAAAAGAGTTTCTTTCTTTCACTAGAAAATGAGTTTTGACGATGTCCTCTGCACCATTTTCTTGCTTATTATGTACAAAGTTTTTGCTAATAATACCATGAACTCCAGCCACGAAAACAATTTTAAAGCGGAAATTATTGTTTTTCTTAAGCAAATCTCTCTGCCGCAATATTGGCCGACATACTCTCCGAAAACTTGTGCTTCCAGGTGATACAATGTTTTCATTACGGGGAACAGGTGCCGGGAAGGTAGTAGGTAGTTGGTGAAGGGGATATCGTCTTCAACTATCACACCGATCACACAATTAAAACAACCGTTCTATGGCAGTGTCTTATCCTTATTAACCGTACTTCTATATCTTCCAAGAGAGCAGGTAGCGACCCCAGGTACACAATGAAAACTATACGCCACATTACTAAGAGCAAAGGAAACAGTTCAATCAATTACGCCACGCCCAATACATCGAACTATATTAATGTTATATTATCCATCAAAAATTATTACCATTCAGTTTATCACACACACACACACATTTAATATTACTTAGGCTAATAAGATTTTCATATTAATTAGGTCAATGAATATAGGAGAGGGAATTAATTAAGGTTAAATCCAAAGCTCTATTGGCAATAACCAGAGTGAATACAGACGCCACCCTGACCCTACTGATGACTCTACTATCACCCTAAAAGTACCAAACCCGAGATGGATACAGGCCCCTACCACCATCCCTACCACCATCCCTACCACCATTCCTACCACCATCCCTATCATCATCCCTACCACCATCTCTACCACCATCCCTACCACCATCCCTACCACCATCCCTACCATCATCCCTACCACACCATCCCTACCACCATTCCTACCACCATCCCTACCATCATCCCTACCACCATCCCTACCACCATCCCAACCATCATTCCTACCACCATCCCTACCACCATCCCTTACCACCAACCCTACCATCATCCCACCACACCATCTACCACCATCCCTACCACCAACCCTACCACCATCTACCACCATCCCTGCCATCATCCCTACCACCATCCCTACCATCATCCCTACCACCATCCCTACCACCATCCCTACCACCATCCCTTTAACACTAACCCTACTTGATCATTATTATCCCTTTACCACTCATCCCTACCACCATCCCTACCATCATACCTACTACCACCCCATTATCATCCTTACCATCCCTACCACCATCCCTACCACCATCCCTACCACCATCCCTACCATCATCCCTACCACCATCCCTACCACCATACCTACCACCACCCCTACCATCATCCCTACCACCATAAGTTCTAATATAATCTCACCTCATATGCCAACCTGTCTCTAATAATATTACCAACTTAATTACAAAGTCAACAACACGCTAATGAACGCTACCTGTGGCCTATTGCAAGGTAAACTGATATAATGATTCACCTGTACCAAGATCTCATCAACTGATATATTTAGTTCTTAATCACACCAGGTTCCTTATTTGCTCATCTATTTATTGACGATTTGTGTTACTTGAATGTGTTCCTGTGGTTTCTATTAGTACGGGAGTTAATGTTCCGTAGACTTTTGTTTTTATTGGCTATTTGTGTTACCTAGTCAATTCTTATAACTTTCTCTCGCCTATTAACCACTTATTTCACTTTTTAACTTTGTTTCCTATTAGCTATTATTCATCTATTGTCTCTTGTCTATTAGCTATCTACGACACATATTAGGTATCATTGTATCCTATTATCGGTCACCTGTCAGCTCTCTGTATCAATTAGTAGTTTGCCATGTCATCCATTACCTGGTCATGTCATCCATTACCTGGTCATGTCACCCACTACCTGGTCATGTCACTCATTACGTTTATATCACCTTTCTATTGGCTATATCATGCCTTAATTGTCTATATCCCGGAGTAATAGTCTCTCCTAATGTTTGTTTTATAAAGCATGCATCTCTACTAACTATCATATGCTAATTTCAGGTATTATTTTACGATATTAATTATCTTTCTAGGTATAACTTCTCACCTTGTAATTACCTGTACAATATAGCTCTTTTACCCCATGAGAGCTGTAATTGTCACCTGATTGCTAATTGCGTCACCTGTCCTGTTTATGGTCACCTGTTATATGCCTACCTCACCTGTTATATGCCTACCTCACCTGTAATATGCCTACCTCACCTGTTAATTAACCTGTCTGATCCTCGTCACCTTCTCTTACAGGTGTCGTGGGTGAGGAGGCAAGGTGACACGATTCACCTGTTGACCTTCGGCTCCAGCACCTACCACAGTAACGACAGGTGAGTGTGTGTGTGTGTGTGTGTGTGTGTGTGTGTGTGTGTGTGTGTGTGTGTGTGTGTGTGTGTGTGTGTGTGTGTGTGTGTGTGTGTGAAGGATTATTTTTGTGTTTTGGGAGGAAGTGATTGGGTTTTATGTGTAGATGGAAGGAGTTGATTGCTGGCTGGTTAGTGTGGAAGGGAGGGAGAGAGGGAGGGAGGGAAAGGAGGGAGGGAAGGGAGGAGGGAGAGAGGGAGGGAGGGAGTAATTGTTCTTTTATGTATTTGTTTCTCTTGTTTCTCTACATTTGTAACTACATAAAGTATATATGTATGTCTCTCTGTCTGTCTGTGTTATTCATCCGTGCTTATAGTGAACCTACATATTTTATCATACATGTTTCTTAATATTTAACCATACCGAGACACTTAAGACTTAATTACGCTCTAATGACCCTAAACCAATATTTAATAGCTTCTCATTAACCATTTATTTACTATTGTTTACTATTGACTATTAATTACTATAAGTCATCCACGGAAAATGTTTTATATTTTTCCTAATGATCGATGATGACATTTAAACTCATTAATGACGCCTTTTGTTCCCTTTATAACGCATAATGACTCCAAATGACTTTAAAATCCCTAAAATGACATCCTATGAATCGTAAATGACGTTTAATGATCCTGAAATATTATGAAAAAGTGAATGTCGGTTCCATAGGCATGACTGGCCGTTAGGTACCCATTTACAGCTGGGTGAACTGTAAGCTCCCGGGGATCGAACCTCCGACCCCCTGGAACACGAGGTGAACACTCTAACCACTTGACCACCGCACTCCTCAATTACTATAATATATACCCTTAAAATTATAAAAATTATCCCTAAATTTCAATATCATCACAATATTACCACCAAATTAACCTTAATTATCCCCATATTAACCTTAATAACCCTAACCTGTGTTAATGTCCCCAAAATAACCAATTCTGAAATCCCATTAACATCGTCTGATCGTCCCAATTTACCTTAATGTTTATACGATTCTTCCAATTTCCTTAAAATGGCACCTTATCATACCTCGATAACTCGGGATGATGTTACGTAGGTTTTGCCCCTCTCAAATGACCCTTATGGCTGAATATACTCCTGTAATTATGACTATCTTAAGACCTCTAAATAAACCCTGAACATCATTAAGCAGTAGATCACCTTAATTCACCTTTGAAAACCTGACCTTGGGGAATCTTTAACCCTTTAGAGGCCAAAAAATATCCCTCAGGTATTTTAAGTTACCTGAGAAACTCCTCCCACTAAAGGGTTAAATAACTCCCTAATAAAACATCTTTAATTATAATTTATCTAACTAACTTCAATACCCAGATAATTATCCTCATATAATAGGTCATAACCCACCTGAACTACCCCATTAGTGGTTCTCAGGTGACCTTTTTCAACTGCTAATGACTGGCAGGTTTCTTGGATTTTCTCTCCATAAAACGAAAACAACGAAAACAAGCTCTAATAAGTTATCCATAATGAGCTGGCGGCCTCCTACCTGTCATTACCTGCCTCTATACTGTCCCTTTATTACGCCAAACTAACCTTAATGAAAATAATGGTGATCTTCTATGGTTTAGTGTTGTGTCTAGATGATCCCATAATGACTGTGGTGGCTGTTGGGAGAGTCAGGATGACCTCCATAGATAAGGTGTTTTGTGAGAATACTTTTATAATCTCTCTCTCTCTCTCTCTCTCTCTCTCTCTCTCTCTGGTTGTAATCTTATCACACACTAATTTTCCGTCTATTTGTCTGTCTATAATCCTTTAATATAACCTCTAGTGACCTGTGCATGACTAAGATATGACGTCAATAAACTCTAACAATTATAGTTGACCTCAGGAACCAACTAGACATTCTCGGTGACCTCAAATGACCTGACCATGAATTATATTTCCCTCGGGTAGCAGTGTAAGCAATCTAGATAACCAACATGACTTTAATACTAACCTAACCGTACCTAACTTAACCTAACCTTCAAACTGATAGCTAATGATTGACTTTCTCTAACCGCTGTGACATCTCCCCTGACCTACGCTGACCTCACCTCTCAACATAACTATCTAGGACATGTCTTATTAGCAGATAATAACCAGTGTCACCTCTCAGATACCAGCTGGAGTTCGTGGAGCCTAACAACTGGCAGCTAGTGATCCAGGCGGCCGAGGAGGGAGACCAAGGTGCCTACGAGTGCCAAGTGTCCTCTCACCCCCCCAAGATACGCAAAGTCTTCCTCTCCGTCTATGGTGAGTGTATGGAACGTGTACAGGACTGGAGAGAAGCTGAAGAGACCTGCATATGATTGTAAAATAATGTACAGGGCTGGAGAGGACTATTGGTTCCTGCATATGACTATGGTGAGTTATACAGCGCTGTAGAATACTGAACTGAGATGATTAAAACTGTAGTGGGCTGTTGGTGGTGCACAGACCGAAGATGGAACTGTAGGGAGCTACTGTAAAAAGTTCTGTGTGGTGTTTTAGAGTCTATAAAAGGTTCTACAAAATGTCTCTGAGGTGCTGTAGAGGGCCGGGGGAAAATGTATAAGACAGAATAAAGTTTTACGGGGTTTTAAAAATCTCTCGAGGATTTGGGTAATTTTAGGTGACCACAAAAGGCTTTAGGTAGGTAGCTGATAGTGTGTGTGTGTGTGTGTGTGTGTGTGTGTGTGTGTGTGTGTGTGTGTGTGTGTGTGTGTGTGTGTGTGTGTGTGTGTGTGTGTGTGTGTGTGTGTGTGTGTGTGTGTGTGTGTGTGTGTGTGTGTGTGTGTGTGTGTGTGTGTGTGTGTGTGTGTGTGTGTGTGTGTGTGTGTGTCTTTAGATGGATCGAAAAGGGATGCGGTGGAAAAGGGATGCGGTGGCTGAGTGGTTACAATGCTCGCAATGTTCAGTTACTCCCACGAGCTGCAGACGACTGTAGTTAACTGTATTGAATTAACGTTCATTGGAGAGGACTGTACAATAAAGAGATAGAGAGATCTGTAGAGGCAATTCGACCGCTGTAGTAGACTAAAAAGAACTGCTATAAACTTTTAGAATGTTGTAGATGAGTGTAGAAGTATATGTAGAAGTTTATACCGAGTTGTAGAGAGCTATGATTAAAAAACAGTAGGAGGCAGTAAAGGGCTATACGCGAGAGACTAACGCTGTGGCAGGTAAAAGACAGATACCTAGAATACTACAGAGACCTTTGGAGGACTACAGACTACTCTAAATAGCTGATAAAGACTACGAGAATATTTCCCAAAACACGATGCCCTAAAACTGAGAAAACTCGTAAAAGTAGAAATTGTAGAGACAAGTAAAAATAAATGTAGGAATCTGAATAAAGACTGTGGGTGAAGAGAGGCCATCAAAGGTCTGGAGAGGAACTGAAGAGAAGTGTAGGGGTCGGTGAGAGCTCAAGAGGACAGAAGAGGAGAAGGGGGAAGACAGTTTGATGGCTGTAAGTGGTTTTAAAAGCTACTACAGATGGTTGTTATAAGGCTGTCCTAGAATGTATTAGGTTTGGTGCATGATGTAGAAGAGTGTAGAGGTGTTAAAGGCTAAGGAGAAATATAGATAGTAGTTGTAGGATGCTATAGTGGGCCATAGACAAATAAAGCACTGTAGAGGACTGTAGAGAAGTTAATAGTGTACTGTATATGGTGAAACTGAAGGCAATAAAGTGCTGTAGAGAACTATAGATGAGTCTCTCCACTCAAGACGTTTACTCTGAATACTTTAAAAACACACATAGACTTCACTGTAGTTTGGTGGTGAGAGAAGTTGTATACAGTTTCCTATACCACCACCACTACCACTAACCTAACTATCCATTGTTATGTCGGGCGCTCAATTTTTGCAAACCTAACCTAACCTAACTCGTACTGCACCAAAAAAAGTAAATACAAAAATCAATCGTCCATAAACCTAACAAATTTTCGACAAAAAAATATACAGGATGAAAATGAAAGATAACTCTCTCATATATTAACTCTCGGCAAAATAATGTTATTTTTTCATTAAGCAACACCAATATTTATTCATCATTTTCATATAGATAATATTTTTCAATGAATATAAATCATAATATATTTCCCCCTCAAAAAAAAAATGCCATACCTATTGTGTTAACATTTACTGTGTAACGTAACTGAAAAAAAAAATTCCACTCACCCTCGTCACGTGACACGACATACAACCTGGTAGTTTGTCTGATCACCACCAACAAGCTGTATAGTATAAAGATATGATCCTCAGAGCTACAACAAAGTATTAATTATTCTGTTGATCGAATAAGACTTGACAGGTGGGTTATGATAAACGACTAAATGTAATGAAACTAAATGGAAGTAATTAGTGTATTGTGTTAAAGTAACTAAACTGTGTGATGTGTAGTGTGCTGACGTGAGAGGTACTGTGTGTTAGCTTATGATAATATAAACAATTGAAATCTGGTTAACGTTATCATTTACACACTTGGGAATTATTCGTTGGTCGCGTTATTCTTTCTTCACTCCTGTTCAACTTAACCTAACCTAACCTAACCTAACCTAACCTAACCAAACCTAAAGTAACCTAATCTAACCTAACCAAACCTAAAGTAACCTAATCTAACCTAACCTAACCTTGTATAATGGAGAACGCATAGACTTCACATCATCTTGAGCATTACAAATTCCAATTCTAAAGATAAATAGTTAATTATTGTCAGTATTTCCTTAAAAACGTTTTGAAGGTGTACTACAGGCAGGAAAATACGTTGCTTCCTCTCTTGGGTATGTTCCTCGGCCAAACATATTTATAAAAATTTAAGAATGTTCACCTGAGTTTCTTGTGTGCCCGTTGTTTCAAATAGCATTATCGGAGGAACATCTGCCCAGTGACCTCGAAACTCCTCCTCCACACGACACAAGTAAAGGTTAGGTTAGGTTAGGTTACGAGAAACATATATATTTTCCCTTTTCCAAATATCTTTTCAAGTCGTATACGGTATCTCTCTCTTCCTGTCTCTCTACTTATGTATTTCTCTCTCGATTTCCATGTATATTTTTATCGATTTATATATTATTATCTCTATTTCTCAGTTTGGCGTTATTTTTCCAATTCTCCAAATATGAACAAAAATTAATAATGAATACAATTTAGTGTGTGTGTGTGTGTGTGTGTGTGTGTGTGTGTGTGTGTGTGTGTGTGTGTGTGTGTGTGTGTGTATGTGTGTGACATACTGTATATGCATCATAAAAATGGTATGTATATTAAATGATATAACGTTTTAGTCATTAGTTTCTCCTAGCATGTGATTCTGTGTAGATCGTACTGAAATGGGTAAAGTTAGTTTGTACCTTAGTTCAATATTACATACAACTGACTTGTTTTTTTTTTTGTTTTTTTAAAGCAACTGAATATTAAACCTTCTTACCGCCACTCAGCTAGATACACAATTACCCACATTAGGCTTTTGTCCTTTTTGAGAAAATCGGACAAAAAAGACACGAGAATTAAAGTCCTTTTGATGATTTTTGCCTCATACTTAAATTAATAATACCGAAAACTTGCCCCCAAAACTAATACTTTGGAAACTGTCCTCACAAAGTACAGAAAAAAATATACGTTTGTTTATTTTTGTCTCTACTGTCGTTGTCGTCCTCAAAATAACATGACAGTGATTGAGGTGAGCCGTCCCATAGGTGAACACTCCTGCTTGTTATGAGCCGTCCCTAAGGTGAACACTCCTGCTTGTTATGAGCCGTCCCTAAGGTGAACTCCTGCTCGTTATGAGCCGTCCCTAAGGTGAACACTCCAGCTTGTTATGAGCCGTCCCTAAGGTGAACACACCTGCTTGTTATGAGCCGTCCCTAAGGTGAACTCCTGCTTGTTATGAGCCGTCCCTAAGGTGAACACTCCAACTTGTTATGAGCCGTCCCTAAGGTGAACTCCTGCTTGTTATGAGCCGTCCCTAAGGTGAACTCCTGCTCGTTATGAGCCGTCCCTAAGGTGAACACTCCTGCTTGTTATGTCCACAAATACCTAAAGCCACGAGTAATTGTTTTCAGTCAACTGGGATCAAAGGCCAAAGCGCATACTTTCTCTTAATATTTCTAACCAATCAGTAGAGCTCTACAGGAAGGACTTATATGCCAACAAGTCTAAGACATTGTAACGTGTCATAAAATAGCCACTATGGTAATAAGAGTCTCAGTTATATTATTGTTTGGTTAGTTATATTTACCAGAAAAAATTTAACCGGAGACTAATTCTGACTGACACTATAACACCACATAAATATAAAATACATTAATTGTATGAAATGTGTTGATACTGGTGTCTGTCTACTATATAAAGAGTGAGAGCTGACGAAAACACAGCTCACAATTTTAGCTTCTTACATCAGGTAAATATTTTAGATACTCAGAATTTATTATTATATGAGTACAACCTAACTTCTACCTAACCTAACCACTAGACAGGCCTTTCTCAGTGTTCTCCATTGTATATAACTGAATTAGACTACAAATATCTAGTGGTTCCCCTCCGAGTAAATATATTACACCACCACTTCCACCACCACCACCCAACACTTTTTTTTTTCAGATTCATATACATATTTACACTGGTGGCTCACGCTGGGTCTCTGCTTCAACTTTGCATTTTTTATATAGAATTTCGGCTGAGTGTTGAAGGTGCATATTTTTGTTCTTTTACAATAGTTGTCTTTGTTTTTGTTTATGTAATGTTGATTTGTTTGTTGTTATTATTATTTATTATCTTGATTTGTTTGTTGTTAGTCTTGTTTATGTAATGTTGATTTGTTTGTTTATATTTTCATGTGTTTAATTTCTTAATTCTATTTGTATTATTATTTGGTATATAATTCTTGTATCATTTACCTATTGTTATTGTTTTAAATTATGTTTTCGTCATATATTTCATTCAAATATATAAAAATTCGTAACGCACATTCACTCACAGGATGATGAGATATTATTTCAGATGTATTTTTCTGTTTCGCCAAAAGTATTATTTTAGTGGAATATATTTTGGGGAATTATTAATATTATGAAAAGTTTTCCTGTTCATTACTGTCATTTGCCCCAAAAGTTATATACAACTAGGCATGATTAGCCTCTATGTCACCCACACCTCCCTACCAAATTTCAACTCTATTTTAAAACTATGGAACACACACACACACACACACACACACACACACACACACACACTCTCTCAGTAAAGAATTGTTACATCAACGAGTCCATGATTTA